TTCAAGGCGCTATAAGTTACACTTTATTAAATTTTTATCGGACATTTTACTACCATATTAAAGAGCACATTAAATAATGATACTCCGCCACAGCCTTCTGAGCGATGTGCCAGTCTGAGAGATTCGGCCGCGCGAAGTGAGTGGGTACCGGAGTTGAGCGAGATCGTTGATTTCTCCGCCACTGTAGACCACCCTGTTGAGCTCCGCCCGAACCGAGTAATTGAGGGGTTTAGTTCAGGACCCCCGCTTAAATACTCCATCTTTTCCAGGTACTCAACGTTCTTCCATTCCAAGTAGGCGAAAGTTTTTCCGAAGCCCTTCGATTCCATGTGGTGTCACCCAATGGGATATTCTCCTCGAGTTGCTCGATGTAGCCACCAGCGCACACCCTCAGTCTGGGGCCCACGAAGAAAATATCGGTTCATCCATTCCAGGTACGGCCGGTCCACACCATCAACCCGCGCCTTGGTGAATGGACCGTAGCGACGTTGCCGGAGCTGCTCGATGTTTGAGGTCTTGCAGATCAAGAGTACTGGTCTCCAGGTAGCTATCCATGGGTGATTCCATTCAAGAAGTTCCGCAGCTGTTTGGAGGCCACGTGAATTCCAAAGGCGTTCTCCACTCAGGCCGCGACTGGAGATGACTTCATATTTTGGTGTACATGAAGGTGAATGGCGGCAGCCGGCTCCTGCTTATAGAGGAAGATCTTGGGTATCTTCCGCCCTGGTACTCATATCCACTTCCTCTGTCTGGGCTGCGAAAACTTCGCTCATATGTGACTCGGCCGGAATGACTTTTTTTTTGCCCCCCCCCCCCCTGTGATACTGTTCGAGAGAGCAAAAGTACCTCTACGGAATTTCTCACCGAACGAGACGCCAGAATTCACCATCGGCCACTAGCAGCTTTGCATCACTGCTTTGCGCGTAAATCCATCGTAGCGTATATTTTTCCCGTTGAGACTTCCCACTTCTATCCGTAAGGAAGTACTCTTCTACATTGAGCAGATGAAATGGGTTTCCATGGCTGCAGAACAACAGTGAGCACTCGTCTCTTCCTCATTGCAGTACTGAATCTAATCATGTTCTGCGGGGTGTAATTACGGACTCTTCTGCCGCTTTCCCTCTCCGCCTATGTCGCTTCGAACACCTCGCTTATATAATATGCGGGAAGCAATTTCAATTTCTATCTTTGTAATCAGCATTTCAAACCCCCACACAACATATCTTTGTCTCCATTCAGAGTTCCTTGGTAATTTGGAACTGTATCTCAAAAAAGTAGCGAAAAAACTGACCGGTCCTCCTTGTAAGTGCGAATTATCCATTGGTCCCCATGAGGATGAAAAACCTCAACGGATCTATGATAGGTGCGGCCGTAGAATCCACCGATAGCATATATCTTTCCGTTCAAAACTTCCACTTTTACCTAAGGAAGTAACTCTTCTGATTGAGCAGATTAGAATGTGTTCCATGGTGCAGAAACTAACATGAGATCGTCTCTTGCTCATGGCAGCTACTGAAATCCAATCATTTCTGCGGGGGTTGTATTTTTCGACTGATTTCAAGTTGGCCTCCTTCTCCTTTTTCTCCGCCTAGTGCGTACAAGCAGTCACATATTACAGCAGACCCCAGGTGCTTTCGACGTGTAGACATCCTATGAACGAACTCCCATCTGCCAACTCGCGGATCTAATCTGAAAAGAAGGACATTGCGTTCACATTTCACGTCTATCCCTCGCTCATTTGCACTAAACTATGGGGTTGGCCACAAGTAACGACCTAGACTGAAATTTTGCCTAAAGATAAGATGGTTTAGAAAGAGCGTTCCAGACATTTTGGTGGAATTCCTCTACACGAAGATATCCCTAATTAATCTGAAAATTCTATTCCCATCAATGTCCGAATGCTCAGTGTCACGTCGGCGAATCTGGGCTTTTTCGACAGCCTTATACTTTTGCATTGGATTGAAAAACTCTAGCCAGGGATGCTTGTTCGTTAAATGTTTGGCGAAGAAGCCATGCTTCTTGAGAAGGCAGAAACGGTACAAAGGCAATTGGCACGATTATTTGGTACTCGGCCTCAAACGCTAGTAGGGAGCCCCATGAGTGTTATCGTAGACGGCGTAACAATACTTTTTCTAGGTCCCTGCCCTTTTCCATGGAGATCAAATAAATATGGGAAAGAAAATCGAATGCGCATCGAATCACCTTTCTACAGTATTCAAAACTGATAGTTCATCATCAGAACCTCCGACAGCATACAAACAGCCATTAAGTACGGATGCAGAAAGCCCACATCGACGTGTATTCATTGGCGGCAAGGGGGTCCATGAGTTTCGCCAAGGGTCGTAGCTGCAATGACGTAACCAAAAGATAGCATGGGCGGGTAGTAAAAGTTTTTACCGTTCAACAGCATCCAGCCAATTTGTTCCATCAGAGCCACCAATTACATAGAGAAAATTGTTAAGCACAGCCACACCAGGTAGGAAGCGAGCGGTGGACATCGGTGCGATGTCACTCGTCCATTGATTAGAAAGAGGATCGTATCTTAAAGTTCTTTTTGAAACAAATGTTAGCGATTGATTCTGCATGTTAAGGCTCTACAAAGGTGCCTTGCTGGCAGGAACCGATACCTCGCCAGAAACTCGCCGAAGATCAAGAAGATAGATAAAGAAGATTCTACTTTATTAGAAGAGAAGCAAAGAGTTTAGAGGAAAGGATGGCATTTCAAGACACATCCGTTGGGTTGAACATAATGTTGTGCGACAGCTTGAACGAAATCTCATGCTGAATCTATCTTTGAAGAACGAGGCTTTCAACCGAAGTGCCATTTACCGTCATTAACATACACTCGTGCCGCATCCATTGGGCACGTCCTTGCCATGTGCGTGCCGTAGCAGCACTGCGGAAAAGCTTTTTCCTCGTCATTGGTCACTGAGGAATCCCAAATTATCTGTTTTCAAAGGCTAGCCGTGAACTCACCTCCGTGGATCCTGATCCCTGCCATGAGCGAGGTAAATGGCCACAGCTTTGACAGCGTGCTACTTTCTCGGCACAAAAGTGCACAAGAATCATCGAGCACCCAACACTTATCTTTCGAGACTCCTTTCAGGTGTAGAAGGAGGGATTGTTTGACAGGTGCTCACCCTGGTCTACCATGTGCCCTCCGCTGAGCTGTGGGGCAACCATCGCGGGAGCACTTTTTGTGATGGTTTGGAAGCGACTGAGGTCGCTGAGTGGCTACATCTCAGTCCTCTCGCAATATGCGGCTGACTGCCTCCGGATCCTCCCTGACAGCTGCGAGAATGACGAATCTTTAGTTTGGGAGGGCGTTCCTACTTGGCCCGACTAAGGTCTGAGTTCAGAGATCGTGTCTTCTTTCGCAAATAGGACGAACAGTGATGGAGTCCTGGCGATGGTGCTGCACACGCTGCACTGGAGCAACTAGCTCCAGTGCAGCGGCTCTCAGAATGATGATACTCGAAGCTGCTCCCGTAAAACTGACATAGTCATCGACTGAGGGAAGAGCAGGCTCTTCATGAACCCCTCGCGGAAAAGCTTCAACAGTGTACCCGCCGGACACGGTTTGTGCTAGGCGAAGTTGAGTTCGAAAGCCCGTAGTGATAGGCGGTCGGTGGTGTAATAGATAGGTAATGCTTCATAGGTGCGAGATCATGGGTTCGACCCCTTGGCAAGATCGGGTTTCTGCTTCTCCTTAAACATATTCTTTAAGTTCAGAAAGAACGTCTAATACGTTATATCTCGAGTCTGCTCAGAGGATAGAGTAAAAGTGCCGAAGTGCCGGCACTTCGTCAGTTGTGCTTCAATTTTGAGACTCTTCAAAAATTAGCTGGTTTTTAGATGGTACATGAACGAGTCAAATTACAACTATTCAAGAGCACATGTGGTGTTGTTCGTTCACAAAATGGTTGAAACAACACAACATCTCACAGGAAGTACAATGAATGATGAAAAACTCTCCTTAACTGGTGGAGTCACATCAATTCTGAAAGGGAATCAATGATGAAAAGGTGATATGAGTTCACCAGGATTTGCATCAAAGAACCCGCTACATACAGAAAGTTCCTGGTTCGAGGAGAGCAGAGATGGAAATAAACTAGAGAGAAAGAAATAGAGTCCCAACTGCGTATGGAGAAATTGTTATGGGGATCTACTACGTAGGGAGTGGAATATCTATAGATCCACTGAGACAGTAGGAAGGAATAAATCTCTGAAGGCTTGAATCAAGGCTGTAGCACCTGGTGGTATGTTTAAAACTTTTGAACGCTTTAAGGTGAAAAAGCCAGTTGATTAAGGTTGTGGTCTTTACAAAAGCTCCACGAATCAACTATCACAGGTATTGACTGGATAGGTGACGCAGGATCTTACCCAGTCCAGCATAAAATGCTTACTCATAATATGAGTTTTATCCACACGAAATACCAAGATAGAAGCTTGGAAATGTCCTTCGGAGGAGAACACCCCCATTCGGTTGGTATTGAAATGTTAAATTGACTAATTCTCCATCGTATAAAATGGGCCTGAAAGCACATCACATGTGCTCTTCAGTAGCACGGGCCCAAAAGCACACCACATGTGCTCTTCAGCAGCTGTAGTTTGACTCATCCATGTACCATCTGAAAACCAGCTAATTTTTGTAAGAAGTCTCGATCATTGAAGCACAACTGACGAAGCTTACTACTTGCGCGGCGCAGGGTCCCATTCCCGGCTCGACGCGGGCACAGGCCAACCAAGCCTTCTATCCCCTGGAACGGTAAATTGGTACCAGATTCGTCTGGGAGGATAAAACACTGTGTACATCGGCTGGCCACCGCAAGTCATTGTATAGGCCACATCGCATTCAATAAGCCACTACGATTCTGAATGGAAGTAGAATGCGTGCCGCATCCCATGAAAAGATTGATTTTACCTTCTATACTCCGAGAACTACTTCAAACTCCGATAATTTATACCGTTATGGTAGCATTTTTGATACTGAGTACCTATTACAGAGAACGAGGGGTACAAGAGGTCAAGAGGTGAAATTGTCCCCTGAAATCCTATCAAACTCGTCCTGGATTAATTATCCGTGAAAATTAATTACCTCTCAGCACTGTTCAAATATGTTTCGCCATCCAGGCCACCAATAGCGTAGAGGAAATCGTTAAGAAAAGCATTGCCGAGTCCGACTCTATACAGTGGCGGAGGTTAATTTCTCAACTTTTTAGCTCTTAAAGCAAATGCTGCACCTTCTCCTGCTCATGGGAGCAACCCGTTGCCACACAGGTTGCGCTTCTTCGGGATTAACGCGTTCCACAGAAACAAAACCGTCCTTTATGTGTCTTCCCACTGAAAGAGTAAGTCGCAGAAATTTGAAATGGGATCTAGCTGCACAGCTATGAACCTTACCAGCATACAGTGTGTCGCAAAATAATTTGAGTGGCTCCCGCGATCGAGTGCGTGGTTCTTGAATATTCGGTTGTTCAAATGAAGAGAATCTCAGAAGTTGGTAGTTCTGAAAGGGGAAATAATAATATGTTGAATTCGAGTAGTCCTGGGAAACAATACTAACTTTTGCTTCATCAAGAAGACTTCGACAAGCAGCATTGCCCATCACCAACGCTTCCTCACTGACTGTGGTGACGAGGAATTTTGGAGGACATAGCGGAAGGCGCACATGTTCCAACAGCTGAACGACCCATGATCGTGAGATGCAGCGAACATTCGCCCTCTTTCAGAATGAAGTGACTTGCTGAATGCGATGTGGCGCACAGGGGTGGGGGAAGAAAACAAGACTTTTCCCTCGACCCTCAAGGCAATATAAGTGACATTTATTTGAACTCTGATTGGGTATTTTCACCACCAAATTCAGCAACGCATTGTACACCTCGTCTCAGAATGATGTGGCATACTGAATGCGTGGCTGTGGCTGGAGGGGAAGAAAACAAGACTTTCCCTCGACTTTCAAGGCAATATAATCTCCAAATTCAGCAACACATTGTTCTTTATCACGATACTCCGCCACAGCCTTCTGGACGAACGCCATGATTCTGCCACGCGACCGTGATTCGGTGCCTGAGTTCAGCGAGGTCGTTGATTTCTCCGCCACTATAGACCACCCACTTGAACTCAGCCCGGAACCTGGTAATCGAGAGGGCTCAGAGCAGGGGGCACACTTAGATGTTCGCCTTCTTCAAGTACTCAACGCCCTTCCATTCTTAGTAGGCGAGTTTTTCTGGGGTCCTTCGATTTCGTGTGGTGATACCCGATGTAGCAGTACGAAGTTTCCAAGATGGTACAGGCGATGACATGAGGCAGGATATTCTCCACGAGTTGGTCGATGTAACCGTCAGCATTCACCTTCAGTGCGGTTTCCAGTTAGAGAATATCGGTCTTCCGCTTCCAGGAACTTCCGGCCCATACCACAACCCGCGCCTTGGCGACTGCGGTGAAGATGATATCCTAGACCGTAGCGACGTTGTCGGAGCTGCTCGATGTTGGAGGTCTTCCAGATCAAGAGTGCCGGTCTCCAGGTAGCTGTCCATGGGTGACTCCATACAAGAAGTTTCGCAGCTGTTTGGAGGTGACATGAATTCCAAAGGTCTTCTCCAGGCTGCGACTGGAGATGACTTCATATTTTGGTGTACATGAAGGTGATGGGCGAGAGCCAGCTCCTGCTTATAGAGGAACATCTTGGGTATCTTCCGCCCTGGTACTCGTATCCACGTCCTCTGTCTGGGCTGCGAAAACTTTGCTGATATGTGACTGGTCGGGGGGGGTGTATTGTC